TAAGCCCAAGAGCTGGAGGTTGCTGTGAGCTGTGACAACACAGCACTCTACCGAAGGTGACAAAGTGAGACTCTGTCTCTAAAAAAAAAAAAAAAGATTAAAAAGTGCAGTGCAAAGCAGGGGCAGCCCCTGTGGCTCAGCTGGTAGGGCACCAGCTCCATATACCGAGGGTGGTGGGTTCAAACCCAGCTCCGGCCCAACTGTGAGAAAAAAATAGCTGGGCATTATGGCGGGTGCCTGTAGTCTCAGCTACTCAGGAGGCTGAGGCAAGAGAATCGCCTAAGGTCGGGAGCTGGAGGTTGCTGAGAGGTGTGTGACTCTACGGAGGGCAATAAAGTGAGACTCCGTCTCTATAAAAAAAAAAGTGCAAAGCAAGTTCATGTCACAGGCCTTAGCAGTGTCTGACACATGGGTTAACCCATTAGCCCTTGACCATTTACTGGACACTCTAAAAATAGAACCGGTTGCTGTTGTTGAATTTTCCAATTGGCTGGGAAAGTGCAAGAAGCTGCCGAGCATCAGGAAACAAGGAGTGCCATGTGAGAGGGGACAGGGATGCTGGAGGGCATAGCTGGGCACAGACCGGATATCCCCTAAAGCACTTTTCCCAAAGGGCAGTCCTACATGCTTTTTTGTTGTTGTTGTTGCAGTTTTGGCAGGGCCTGGGTTTGAACCTGCCACCTCCGGTATATGGGGCTGGTGCCCTACTCCTTCAGCCATAGGCGCCGTGCTACTTGCTTGTTTTCCTGACGCAGTGATACTGGGAACTGGAAGCTTTGGGCCCTGCCCACATGTATATAAAGCCTTTGCAGTGCATGCTAGGCTCCATCAAGCCAGGCACTATCTGGGCACAATCACAGCTGGCCCTGCCACGCTCACCTGAGGCATGAGCACCAACTGAAGCAGGAGGGAAAACCCAAGGAGGTGTCCAGGAACAGTTCAAGCCTTACTGTTCAGAGCCCACCTTTCTCATCAGCTTTCCTCACCTCTGGTGGTTTGTCCTGGTCCTCCAGTGGGAATAGCCAGCCTACACTTGCACTCTCCTGGCCTTGTGATGGAGGACATGAAGTGCTGATGCCTTGATGACTGAGCCAGCAGGCTGTGGGGCCAGTGACCCCTACAGCTACTCCCCAGGGAGCTATTTTGGTTAGGGGAGGCAGGGAACACCATAGGCCAGAGTGACAGCCTCTCATAAGGGCTCACCACCCTGCTCCTCTAGTTCCACAGCATGGCAGGGATGTCAGCTCTTTGTGTCCAGAGACTTTCAGGGGAGGGAAGAACTAGGGTTGTGCAATTAAAGGCCTCAGTTGGTTCTGAACTCTATGGCCCCCAGGACAAGCACAGTGACACCTCAGGGATCAGAGGTGGTCAGTGGAAGAGTCTGGCACCAAGCAAGTGGCAAGAGTCTTTACCCAGCTTCTAACAGCTGGCAAAGCAGTGGTATATGAGGTGGGCAGGGTGCAGGGGAGGTGGAAGTTAGTGCCCAAGAAGGCATCTGGGCTGCTCTGCCCACAGAATTGGGTTGAGGCCTCAACAGTGCAGAGGCAGTTCTGCTGGTGGAGCCCCACTGGGGGTCAGGTTATGCTCCCCTGGAAGCCAGGCCAGTGTCAGGACTGGGGCCACATTGGGTGTCCTCAGTGGTAGATGGCCTAGCTCATGCCCACCCCTTCCTGTGGCTGCCCTCACATCAGAGTATCTCTCTCCACTTCCAAGAGCCTCCCAGGTGGCAGGGAGCTGGGCCAAGCCAAAAGGGGAATGCCAGCTCTCCAGCCAGCATCAAAAGAAAAGGCAGAATCCACTGAGGGGTAGCTAGAATCGGTGGTAGGAGAGGCGCCAGAGACCCCAGTAGGCCCCTGAAGTCAGTTTTCCAAGGAGAGGATGGAGGGAAGGTGTTGTCCTCAGAGTGCCAGGAGTGGGGCTGGGCACAGAGCTCCAGCACTTGACCCTGAGTTCCCTACAGCCCAGGACCCCTACCCAGAGCCTCAGGACCTGACACACTGGCCAGGGACACACTTGATGTCATCATTTTTATTTACTTTCTCTTTGAAAATAAGAGTAACATACAATATATATTTTTCTATTTATATATATTAGATATAGTTACTACAGGAATCTGAAAACTGTAGTACCCAACCACTTGGAGGCAATTTTCAATTCTGACATTTGGTGGAGGGGAAAAAAGTATCCGTGATTGCCAAAAGCAGAATCTTTCTTTATTATTAAACAGCAGTAACAGGAAAACCTAATGCTGTCAGACAAACTGAAACTTGGGAGGCCAGGAAGAGGGCAGCAGATACTAAGGAGAAACTCCAAAGAAACCCCAGACAGGAATCACACCATTCGCCTGCAGCCCCATCCCTCAGCCCTGTCTGCTCCAGGATGCCAGGGCTTGCTGGAGCGCCACCAAGGAATGTATCATAGGCAGTGACCATCTTCAGACAGAAGAGGGGAGCTGGGGGTGGTGCAGCTGCCAGCGAAGCAGTAGCCCAAGACAGGGGCTCTGGGAGCTTCTGCCTGGTCTTGACCATGCAAGACAGTGCTCAGGGACCCTGGCCTGACTGACATAGCCACAGGGCACCAACCTGGTGGACACAGGGTGGGTGGTGCAGGCCCTGGGCTCCTCCCAGCTCAGCCCTGCCCCTCTGTCAGCAATGACACAGAGCAGCTCTGCTGATATCAAGGAGATCCTCCCTGCATACCCAGGCCAGACTGGCAGGACCTGTCCCACTCAAGGTAGCAGTGGGGGCCCTCTACCACCAACCCAAGAGAGACTAAGGGCCAGGAGCTGTTGGGCTGGGAGCCTGAGCAGCAAGTTCCACGCTCATCCTTTAGGCACAAGGGAAAGGAAAAGGAGAATCTTGGGTCTCCCTGACCAGTTTTGCCGCCGCTCTGTTTCCTTTGGTCCCCTCCTCACCTGACCCCCTGTGTCAGCAGCAATGAGAGGGGCATCCTAGAGCACAGGAGTGCACTGAGATTTCCCTGTGGGAGGGGTGCCACCCTGTCCCAAGGACCCAGGTGGGTACTGCAGTCAGAACCAGGGAGCCCTCTAGGTGGCCAGGAGCCCCGCCTGGCCCCTCCTTGAGGAGAAGGAGGTACTGCCACCCCCAGGAGGCTCCTTGATGGGGCTGGCAGGAGGCCAGGGCAGGTGCTGGCCGAAGCCTCAGTTCTTGAGGATGGTCTCATAGGCCTGGTACACGTACTGGGACACCTCTGGTGCTCGACACTTCAGGGACAGCTGTAGGGGGAGAGAAGGGTTGAGGGGAGAGAGAGCGTTCATCCCTGGGGCTCCTCTCTGGAGGGAGGGGAAGGGAAAGGAGGGAAAAGAGCAGGAACCAGATGGAAGAGGGTGGTTTGCACACGTGGATGGGTGGCAGCTGAGGCTAGGGCAGATGTGAGATACAGCAGAGGGGGTGGCTGTCACAGCCAGCCGGGTATGGACCAAATATACTTGCAGCCCACACACCTGCTGTCAGCACAGCCACCAGAGCCCTACTAGTAAGCAGCATGAGTCACGAGCCAGAGGCGGCTAGGGAGTACCTGCAGGGCTGCCCAGCACCCCACAGCCTCAGAGGTCTGAGGTCTTCAAGAGTGAAGCCTGACAGGAAATCCTGAGGGGCACAGAGGGCTGGGAGAGAGCCAGTGAGGTTGCTGGGGTTACTCCTGGTTTCCTGCATAGGAAGCAGGTACATTGAAGACTTTGCTTTCACTCTAAGGCCTGAGCTTGAGATTACAGGCTGAGGAGACAGAAGCTACCCACCTAAAATCACTGGTTCTGGAGGGTGCAATTAAGAAGCAGGGATGGGGTGAGGGAGTTCTGCAAGTCAACAGCCAGTGGCCCCAGGGGGTCCCCTGGGTCTGTGTGCAGGGGTTTGGTGCACTGTGAACATGTGCAAGTGGGAGTATCAGCACCTCAACAGGGGCCACCTGGCTGCAAGTGTGGGGTGTTGGCAGCCTGTGAGTCTGCCTGGCTCTGGGAACAGCAGGGTGAGGTGAAGCCAAGAATCATGGTGTAGACAGAAGACCTGGGGTGAAAGGGAACAGGCCAGGAGACAGGGTGTGCAAGACAAGGCTGGGAAGGGCAGAGAGGTAAAGAGGAAGAGAAAAGCAATCTGCTAACCTCCAAGTCCTGTACCACGGGCACCAGCAGGGAAGGTAGACATGCAGCACCCAAACACAGGGAGACAGAAATTACCACCACCGAAGCCACTGCCACAGCCCCCCACCAACCACAGTGCCGACGCTGCAGAAGAGCCCAGGAGAGGCAATGTCTGGAGGACTATGATTGCCAAAGACTCAGAAGTGCAGGGAGAAGCAAAGCATGCGGCTTTCCAGGGCCTTAGAACAGCAGCTCAGGCCTCTCAGGTAATTGCCTGCCCATGGATGCTACCCTCTGATAGGTCTGCCTCAAAGGCCAGGAAGCACAGGCTGCTAGGAACCAACCCCCCAGGTGGGCACTGAAGCATTCACTCTGGAGCAGGGCCAGGACCTGTGCTTAGCAGTGCCACTTCCTAGTTGGGGGTGGGGGGTCGGGTGGGGCAGCCAACTGTGCCACTTTATAGAGCCCAATGTTATAGGATCTTCTAATCCAACTCACTGAGATCCAGTTTGGTGTCTTATTCTGTCCCCTCCCAGGGACAGAACTGATTCTCTACCCACCAGAGCCACCCCCTGGCCTGGGCAGAATGGGGAGGTTCCAGGGCTGGTGGGGACTCTCACCGTGAAGCTGGGGTTGCCTGGCTGGATCCGCAGCTCTGCCAGCACCCAGATGCCATTGGTCAGTTTCAGGGACTGGTAGAGCATGTCCTGGCCCTCCACATTCCTTTTGGCGATGGTAAAGATGTTGCTGCTCTGCAGCTTGCTGCTCACGGCCTCTGTGGGGTCAGATGGCCAGTGGAAGGACCCACAGTCAGTGATGGGGGCCCTGGGTACAGGAGAGGGGTAGTGTGGCCTCAGGGTAGGCTCAGGCGTCCTCACCCGCATTGAGGGGGCAGTCTCTGATCTGAAACTGGGCTTCATTCTCATTGGGAATATCTTTCCATGTGGCCAGGAACATCTGCCGGTCTGCAGAGTAAGAGAGAGGTTGTGGGGAGAGAGATGGGACCCTGACAAACCTGTGCCCTCTCAAAAGTACTCAGCAGGAAATGGGTCTGGTCTTTAATGTGCCACTTGAAAGCTAAGGACAGGCACTAGCTCCTCCTCAGTGCCTCCTGATTTCCCAAGCAAACCCTCAGCTCTATAAGGGAGGTCATCAGTGCTGCTCCCAAATGACTCTGAGTCCCAGATCTCTACTCACCACCCTCATGCATACCTTCTTTCTCTTCCTCTGGCCCTGGGCACAGCCTGCTTGTTACTCACAGCCTGCCTCACAGGGCTCTGTGGTGAGTGAGATGATGCAGACCAAGGCCATCATCAATGGTTCCTAGCCATAGCCCCATTCCAGGGGGCTTCCTTATGACTCACCCATCTTCCCATCCTCCACAAAGAGGATGTGCAGTGGGTACAAGGTGCTGAAGTAGAAGACGTCGATGTTGTTCTTCACAGCCACCTAGGTACAGGGGGACCCAAGTCAGTCCTTGGGGTTTAACACTCTGATTCTTTTTTTTTTTTTTTTTTTTGAGACAGAGCCTCAAGCTGTCCCCCTGGGCAGAGTGCCGTGGCATTACAGCTCACAGCAACCTCCAACTCCTGGGCTCAAGCGAGTCTCCTGCCTCAGCCTCCCAAGTAGCTGGGACCACAGGCGCCCGCCACAACGCCTGGCCATATTTTTTTGGTTGCAGCTGTCATTGTTGTTTGGCGGGCCCGGGCTGGGGATTCGAACCCGCCACCTTAGGTGTATGTGGCTGGCGCCTTAGCCGCTTAAGCCACAGGCGCCGAGCCGACACTCTGATTCTTATGCTGATACACCTCTGAGGCCTCAGGAAGGGCATCCCTGATCTCACACAATTACCTTCCCTGGTAGCCATGTCCCACTGCACTTCTGGGTACCTCCCAGGACACACCTGCAGCCAAAAGCATGACCCCACAGACACAGCCCTCTGCTAACCCTGGCCGGGCCCCAGGTTGCTCCAGCCAGCCCCTCTCCTCGGGCTGGAGGGTAGGGACTGTAGTACTTGGCCCTGTCCAGAACACACCTGGAGGTTGTTCAGAGGTTCCATCTTCATGACTGATCCCACTGTGTTGAGAGGCAGGGAGATCTCCACAGTCTGGTTAGGGCTGAGCGGTGCGTGGACCTGAAGTGGGGCAGCGGGGGCCAGGCCAAAGCTGGGGAGAGAGATGCCCCGCAGGGACAGCAGGGGGAGAAGGTGCTGAGAGGTGGGACAGGAGGGCTCCTTGGGCTTCAGAGCAGGGGCAGTGCTGGCAAGAAGTCTCTCTCCCAACCCAGCCTACCTAGGCCCATGCTCTAGGCGTAGGATGGAAAGACAGGCTCCCCATCCCTATCCTCTACCCCTCGAAGGCTGTGTAGAGAAGAGCTGCAGGTCTGAAGCCCATCTCTGTTCCTCCTCCTCTGGTCCAGCCCTGTCCTGGCCTTAAGGAGCTCCATATAATGCCAGGGGCCTGGCCCATAAGCTGCTTCTAACATGAAAGCTCTGGGACTGCCCAAGTCTCTGTTGTAAATCAGCATCTCCCAGGAGGGATCTGACTGAAGCAACGTTCTGGGTTTTACTGTCTGGGACAGAACTGGCCAGGTTGCACGATGGCCATAGAGAGATTTAGGAAAGCGCCACTTCTCTATAAAGCACCACACGAGCAAATTAGGAAGCTTCCCATCAGTAAGACATCAGCTGCAAGATCTTGGAAGATAAATCACAGAGTGTGGGTCAGGACTACAAGCTGAGTTCTCAGCATGCCCAGGTGGGACATTTGATATTATACCCCTTTCTATCCTAATAAAGATAGGACAGGTTTATATTATCCTAGCTTCCAGATGAAGACACAGAATTTGAGAGCCTACAGGGTAGAGTGGCACTGAGAATCACAGTTTGAGCTGCCTCACTGCAGCCTGTACTCTGCCCACAAGGCTAATCAGCTTGCCTGGGACATACCAGGAGGCCAAGTGGGGAATCCCAGGTCTGTTTGGTGGCTTGGTGCTCCAGGCTTTCCTGTGACCCTCACTGCTGACTGTTGTGTGATCATGGGCAAGGGACTTGACCTCTCTGAGTCTAGATCTCATTGCCTACTAAGTATAACTAAGCAATAACTGGGACTACCCCTAAGAGCATGGAGTACTTCTGTCCCTCTAGGGTTATCTGAGGCTAAGGGGCAGAGCTGCCCCCAACCTCCTGGTCAAGTAAGCTCATAAAGTCCCCCCCCCCCCCGAGGAAGCAGCCCCTTCAGTCAACTTCTTAGAGGCTCAGTTTGCTCATCACTAGAGCGCTCAGGAAGAAGAATCATCAGGAGGGCTGCGAGGCTTCCCCAGAGAGCCCTGGCCTAGCTAGTTAGATCTATGATGGTGTTTGACAGGTGATCTTCTCCACTGACACTCAGTGTAGGGGACCTATGGAGATGAGGAGCCTGGAGCAGCCACCACGCCCTGTCAGTCTGATCCTTTGCCACAAGGGTGAGGCTAGCAGGCAGGCCCCCTCCCTACCATCCTTCTTAGAGTTGGTCCTAAGACAGAAGCAACTTGGGCCTGGGGGGGAGGAGGCTCTGAGCTCCAGTCAGTGTGGGATGGGCCCCTTCTGATATGTAGGTAAGGTGCTTGCCAGAGGCAGGCTCCCAGGCTGGAGTGGGAGATTTCCATTTGTAATATTCTCCTTTGGATAGTGGAGGCAAAAATAAGAGGAGATGCTCTTCCTACTCTGTCTGCTACTCTGGAGTCAAAAAGGTCACGGGGTTTCAGAAGTTTCAGCCTGAGGGGTGGTGAGAATAGCCCCCTGCTCCCAAAAAGGGGCAGTCCCCACCCCCGCCTCAGTTCTCAGACCCTACCTATAGTCACCAGCACAGGCTCTCCACATGCTGACCTCAGGCAGCTCACCTATTGCGGTTGAATTGGATGGCAAAGTCTGTCATGACCTGCAGGGCCTTGTTGGTTAGCTGCAGATCCATGGAGATGGAGCCCACTTGGCGGGTGAAGGTGCCAGAGATCTCCAGCCCCTTGGCCTTCATGGCCGGGAGCCAGACCTGTGGGAAGAGGATGGGGGCGGGGGGTAGGCATGTGCTTCTTTTCCCAACTCAACAGTCTACTGGAGAGTCTTTCTTCTCTCTCACGATCGGGTCACCTGGGTAGATCACATCTGCCTTTATCACTAGGGGATAACTGAGATACGTGTCAGGGCAAGGAGAACAATTCTGCAGTCTACCCACTGCCACCACTACAGTGTGGCTACTTCTTGAAGGAGCCCAGGATGGGGAGGTGCTTGGCTCTCAAGGGCTGACATGAGTCTTCAGAGGTCAATGAAGGAAACACTTGGGAAATAGGGCCAGGGCAATGGGCCAAGGACAGAGCCGAGTGCCCATACCCAGCGGCATCCTGGGCCTGGGCCAGAGCCTAAGAACCTCCTGTCACAGCCTGTTCCTGCCTTGCAGGAGACAGGACTGGCCTTTAATTGTAGAAAGTGGTCTGATGAAGGACAGAACCTAAGAGGACCTCGTGCCTGGGAGGCCTTCTGCTACTTGGCTGCCCTTGTCGTTTGTGTCTCTACTCAAGAGTTACCTCCTCTGGGAAACCTGCCCCCAGGGTCTTTCCTTATATTCACACCCCAATGACATTCTGGCAGGTAACCATGAGCCCTTGTGTCTGTCTCCCCTGTGCCCAGTGAGCTTTCTGAGGGAAGAGCTCTGCTTTTCTGTCTTTACACCATGGCTCAGAGCCTAATGTAGAGCCAGTGTTCAAGGGAGTGTTTGCTGAGCAAACAGTATGAGTTAAAGCCTTGTCCACGAGGGACATCTGTCAGTGTCATCCTGTGGACAGACAAATACCTCTCAGGACATTATTCTCACTTGGACAATTTACGAGCCACCAAGTTCAAAAAGCTCAGGTCTCACTTGACAACTTCCCCAAGTGCATCTACTATTAGCAAAGGTTCCACCATCTCTCAAGTGTCAGTGCCAGGAATCACCATCATGTCAGGTACTACCTCTGGCTGCACCAGTCAGACCGTCCAAGTCCTATCAAGGCTTCCTCCTACACCTGCTCCCAGGGCTACCACTTCTCTCCATCTCCACAGGCACCACCAGCACTGAAGTGCCCACAAGACTTCCCCAGGTATGGTAGCAGTTGCTTGGGTGGCCGCCCCATTTCCTCTCCCCTCTTTCCATAGCAGCTTACGTTATCTTGTGAAATGACTTGTACAATCTGATCATGGCACCCCAAACCCCTTCCAATCCTATAGTGGCTTCCAGTGATGCAAGCTCCAGCCTGGTGTCCAACCTTCCCTAGGCCCTGCCTGCCCCTGGGACCTCATATCACTGTTCTCTCTACTTGGAAAGAACTTCCCACCCACATCCCACCCTACTTGGCTAACCCTGAGCACCCTTTGTATCCCCTGGATGAATTGAGAGGGAAGAAATCTCCCAAATTTAGTTCTCAGCCGTAACTTGGTGTGCAAAAGGCACACAGAGGCTGCTGCACCTGGGCTTGGGCAAAGCTCCCACAAAAACAACTCTTAAGGCTCGGCACCTGTGGCTCAAGCAGCTAAGGCGCCAGCCACATACACCTAAGGTGGCGGGTTCGAATCCAGCCTGGACCCGTCAAACAACGATAATGGCTGCAACCAAAAAATAGCCAGGTGTTGTGGCGGGCGCCTGTGGTCCCAGCTACTTGGGAGGCTGAGACAGGAGACTCGCTTGAGCCCAGGAGTTGGAG